GTGTGTTATATACTATGCGTGGTTGGTGGTTAGATACTCCCTGTATTTTGTTGTTGTGTGTTATATACTATGCATACATCATACATCTATAGACCATACACCATACATCTATCAGCAATACATCATACATCTATAAACACCTTTATAAATATATCCAGAATCCTATAATAATAACCCGTACATGCTACTTACAGGTCCAGCATATGCTTAGCCAGCTGAGCAAGACCCTGACTGTGATGGGGGAGCCCATTGCTGTAGTACACTACGGCAGCGCCACTGCAGGCTTCATTGACTGGAATATATCGAAAGGCATGTATTAAACCCTGGAAACCCTAGACCCAATACTGTGTATGTACTCCATTTGATACCAGCCACACCTTGTAGTGTGTAGTAGTATTGTGTATGGGTAGTAAGTAGCATGTATCTTTTGCCATACCTTGTATTGCGTAGTAGTAATGTGTATGGGTAGTAAGTAGTATGTATCTTTTGCCATACCTTGTATTGTGTAGTAGTATTGTGTATGGGTAGTAAGTTGTATGTATCTTTTGCCATACCTTGTATTGCGTAGTAGTAATGTGTATGCGTAGTAAGTAGTATGTATCTGTTGCCATACCTTTTAGTGTGTGATAGTATTGTGTATGGGTAGTAAGTAGTATGTATCTGTTGCCATACCTTGTATTGCGTAGTAGTAATGTGCATGGGTAGTAAGTAGTATGTATCTTTTGCCATACCTTGTAGTGTGTAGTAGTATTGTGTACGTGTTAGCCTTCAACCATATAGTGTGAAGTGGACAGCTGCGTCCCCGTACACCCCATTGACTGTAATACAACGGAAGGCAAGTGATATACTCACCTCTACTCTCTCCATCGATACACACCGCAAGCTACCCCAAAACACTTTTTTAGAGTTTAGGGTTTTAGGGAATATCAGTTGTCTGCTATTGTGACCCAACTCTCAAGCCTCTCTCACTACCTGTACAACTCATCCCATTCGCCCGTGCCTCAGGCAGCAGCAGAAACCCAAGAGATGTCCTGCACCAACTAACCAGCACAAGCAGACCACCCACCGCCGCAAAGCCTTCTCCTACGCCCACGATACACACGTATAGGGCCACAACAGACCCCAAACCCCCCTCTAAGAACACGCACACGCACACGCTCATCTCCCCTGCGACACCACGTACTGTGATGAAGGGAGAGCAGGAGGAGTCTGTGCGCCGCAGACTGTTGGCTAAGCTGGAGACACTCAGCACGAACACAGAGCACATAGACTCAGCGCCGCAGCTGACAATGCAAAGGTGGGCTGCCTATGTACTTGCTTTGTTGAGGCTTGCTATGTTGGCGTGCGTGCGTGCGTGTGTGTATGTGTCTGTGTCTGTGTCTGTGGCTGTGGCCGTTTGTCTTCTTATCTGTGTTTGTGTGTGTGTGTGCGTTTGTTTGTGTATATTTGTTTCATGTGTTGGGGTGGGGTGGGGAAAAGGGAGTGTGCGTGTAGATTTAATGTTGTTTGTAGGAACAAAGTAATAAATCAAAGACAGCATACTGATCAGTGGCAGCAAAATAGA